ACCTGACCAGACGCAGTGACTGGAGGAGACGCAGTGGTCAGTGTGTACAGGCTCGACCCCGGCCGACGTGTAAACGTGGCCAGGTGTCGGCCTGTCCGAGCATCCGTGCAGTGGGTCACCCGCTGACTCGCAGGAGTGAACTGGTGAACCCCCGCATCCTGTAGGTCAGCACCACTCACCAAGTTCGTAGAGAACGAGGGGAGGTAAAGACCAGACAGGGTGCCAGAGGGGGCCGCCGGACACGGGAGGACAGTGGAGAAGTGAGCAAGGACAGGACCCCCAGAGGGGTCTGCCAGAGAGACTGCAACAGGCCGACTGAGCGGCGTGAGTGTGGTGCGGTCTCGAAAGAAGGAGCGAGAAGCCCCCGAGTCAAGGGTGAAGGTGTGGGAGGCCGAAGCCGACGCAGAACCTGAGAGAGCAGACTCACCAGCACCTGAGGGAGCAGACGCACGAGCACCTAGAGCAGCAGCCTTGCTAGCACCTAGAGCAGCAGCCTCACCAGTACCTAGAGCAGCAGACTCAATGCCCGGGTCGGGCGGAAAACACCGGTAACAGTCACCTTCATCACTAATAGTCACAGTATACATGGCAGCAAGAATAGCATCAAAGTCAAGGTCAAAGACAGCTACACCCGCCCTAGACAGCTCACCCCAGCGGGGGATCTCAGTGGCCTCAGGGAACTGGTGACGCCAAGCGTCCGTCAGGCGGCCAAAGCAGCGCTGGGTGGAGTGCGCACCCCAGCACTGCTCACCCGCGCGGTCTCCGGTGCGTAGGACGTAGGTGCACGGACCAGTACCCCCACCCCGCTGGCGTGCAGCGTACCACTCACGGAGCTGCTGAGGGGGGGGGATGTCACGAGTGCGCTGCTGCTGCTGCTGGCGCTGACCACCCCCGGAGCCGACCCTCTGCGCAGCGCCACCCCGACCAGCTCCACCTCCTCCGCCGCCGCCTCCTCCACCGCCGCCACCTCCGCTCCCACCGCCACCGCCGCCGCCGCCTCCGCCTCCACTGCCGCCACCGACACCTCCACCCCCGCCACCACCCCCACCGCCACCCCCACCCCCTCCACCGCCTCCACCGCCGCCTCCACCGCCCCCGCTAGCTCCTCTAGTGCCCCTGCCCCCCTTGCCCTTGCCAGGGCGGCGTCTCCCGCTAGGGGTAGACGCCGCACCGACCGACTCAAGCCCAACGAGGTCGGCCGCAGCAGCAGAGGCAACAGAGAGCAAAAGGGGGGAGGGGGAACACCCCTCAAAGATGGGGGTGCGAGGGTCACCACGAGAGGCTCCTACAGCTACTATGCTCTTTTCTGCTGCTAGGAGGGCCTTCTCGAGGAGGTCAACGGTGAGAGTGGTGGGGCAAACTGAGAGGAAGTGGTCCCTGACTACGCGAAGGGAGTCAGGGAGCCGGGTGACTATGTAGTAGAGGGTGATGTACATGGGGGGGGGGTTCTTGGCGCAGAACTCAGCAGGAAGCGCAGCGCGGTAGCGAGTGTCACTAGTGCGGAGGTGCGTAATGAGGTCAGCGACTGTGGGAAAGGCAGCAAGGTCAGGGAAGAGGTACGGTAGCATGAGGCGGCTCAGTGCAGCAGTGGCAGGGGAGGAGTAGCGCGCAACTACAGCGTCGTACAAGGTCTGAGCACTCTTGTACTGGCTAAAGTGCGCACGCTCAGAGGTAGGCAGGTGGCGACGCACAGCAAGACGTGCAGCAGCATCGCGAGTGGCCCACTGTGAGCGAACAGTGGCGTCGGCATCAGCAGCAGGGGCAGGAGAGGCACCAGAGGTGAGGTCAAAGAGGGAGAGACCGTCTGCCCTATCGCACTGTAGGAAAAGCTGCAGGTCATCTACCCAGACGTCAAAGTCAATGGCCCGACCCTCAGCGTCAAAAGCGAGGACACTAGGGGTAGCCATGACAGCAGTAGACTAGCAGCGCGAACAATAGGGTAAGGGCAGTGCAGTGACAGAGGCGCTGCTCTTACCAGACAGGGCGGCTCGGGTGGCTCGGCGGCTCAGCGGCTCGGCAACTCGGCGGCTCGGGCGGCTCGGGCGGCTCGGCGGTACGGCGGCTCGGCAGCAACAGCGGCTCGGCGACTCGGCGGCTCGGGCGGCTCGGGCGGCTCGGCGGTACGGCGGCTCGGCAGCACGGGCGGCTTAGGTGGCGCGGCGGCTCGGGCGGCTCGGGTGGATCGGGCAGCTCGGCAGCAGCTCGGCGGCGCCGGCGGCTCGGTGGTGACGGCGGGGCCGCGCGGGGAGCGGCGGCGGGGCCGGGTGGAGCGGCGCCGGTAGGGCCGAGGCGCACCGGCGGGTGCAGTCAGCGGCGGCAGCAGCTGCGGCCCCGAGGGAGGTGGTGGCGGCTGCTGCTGGCGACGGCTGCGGCTGCTGCTGCAGAGACTGCGGCGGCTGCTGCGGCAGGGGCGGCGACGGCGGGCCGGAGGGGGCGGCGACAGGGCCGCGAGAGGCCGCGAAGGGCGGCGAAGGGGCCGTGAAGGGCGGCGCGAGGGGCCGCGGAGGGCGGCGACGGGCCGTGATAGGGCGGCGCGAGGGGCCGCGGAGGGCGGCGACGGGCCGTAGGGGGCCGTGAGGGGCCGCGGGAGGGGCCGTAAGGGGCGTAAGGGGCCGCGCGAGGGGCCGTAAGGGACGGCGCGAGGGGCCGTAAGGGGCCGCTAAGGGCGGCGCGAGGGGCCGACGGGCGGCGCGAGGGGCCGTAAGGGGGCCGTAAGGGCGGCGCGAGGGGCCGTAAGGGTGGCACGAGGGGCCGTAAGGACGGCGCAAGGGGCCGTGAGAGGGGCCGCTAAGGGCGACGCGAAGGGGCCGTGAGGGGCCGTGAGAGGGCGCAACGGTAGGGAGGGCACACAGGGCGCGACTCGGGCAGGAGCGAAGCGCGCTCCGGGCAGGAAAAAAAATTTCGTGGTGGGCCCTAGGAAGTGTTCCCACTAGGGAACCTGCTCGATACCATGAGAAGAAACGAGGAATGGAATGACTAAAGGAAAGTTGGGTACAAAAGCAAACCCTAGAAAACTGTACCCCATATGTGCTACCCCACTATAGCCTACAGTAGCTATGTCATATAAATCTGACACGTATCAGGCCCTCATATTCACTTTTAAGGACGTTGATGCATCAGGGTCCCTGTGTAAAAAAGCCTGAATTTTCAGGGTTCCTAAAAAAAAAAGCCTGAATCTTCAGAGTTCCTAAAAACATAAGCCTGAATTTTCCATCACATTTTGCATTTGTATAAGAGAGTAGCCTTTACGAAATATGACAGCCGAGGAATTCAAACCGACAACCTTATTATTCGGTACCAACTGCGCCAACCACTGAGACACTTCATCCTGTCAGCCGTCAGTGTTTTATTATTTTATAGGTACATTGTGGAAATGTTGGTTGACTGAATCTCTCTAGTGTTTCACGGGAAGGATTCGGAATGTGCATTCAGTGTACACTTCGATAAAAGTCTGAAACATCAGTGTTAGCGATGAAGTAAAGGCTGAAAAATTCAGTGTCACAAAAATCTCAACACTGAAAAATCAGTGTAGGTACACAAAACTAGGCTGAAAATCAGGAATTTCAGGGAAAATTTCCTGATATCGTAGGGCCTGCTCCGTATGCACACCAAACAATAGTTTTTTTTACCGCGCCACATTCATATCGACTCGTCGCGTATGCACACCAAATAGTAGTTTTTAATAGTTTGGTTTGTACGATAGCGAGAGAAAGAGGCTGGCGAAGTGGTTAGTTGTTGGTGTCACAATATGCATTGGTTTCGCAATACTGTTGGCGGTTCGTCACCTTGACAAGTGCTTCTTGAACGAGGGATGCATAACCGCTTGTGTAACATGTTTCAAAGTGTTTTGGTTGACCAATAACTATTGACAAACCTCACTTGAACCGCGACCAAGCTCGTTTGAACGTAATGTTAGTCATTTCCATCCTGAACAGTTTCTGAACGACTTCATATTCCGCTCTAAGAGGAGAAATTTAACCAAAATTGCCTTCGGAGGCACGAGCTTTCTTCAAAAGAGTGAAAGGCAGGAAGCCAATTCGACGGAATATGGGGCAGTCAATTGGTCACAATCAAATTATCAATTCTGGTCGGTCAATTGCGTCAAATTAAACCGATTGATCGCTATACATTGATTGGGGTAGATCGGGTGCCGCTAACGAGCAATGCAACGAGTTACGATCTTGTTAAAGCCCGAGGTCAGCATGGTAAAGTTTCAAGTTATGTGGATTTGAAATAGGCTGTAGGTGAGGTGTGCGAAACCTATTTCGGTTGTGTTGCTTTGGCGAGAACTTCATTCATCCGCGAGCAATTGAACATTTCGTGCATACCAAACCTGCAATTCCCACCAACCCAAAGCGAAAAGTGAGTCGCAAGAAGAGAGGGGGACAGCCAACCATTAGGTTTCGCATACGACGCACATGGAAAGTGTTGCTGCAGTAGAAGTCACTGCGAAACTGATTCAACTCGACTGTCATGCACGTGCTACTAGCAACGCCACCTACTAGCACGTGCGCCTCTCCTCGTCCACCTCACCTTGAGTCTTCCCGTTCTACCCATCCACGCGCAGCACGCCTCCCGTTCTCCCCGCAAGCCACGCTATTTGATCGCACCCAACCTAATCCAAAGCAACCTGACCGAGCCGGCCTCATCCGAGCCTAGAGTCTATTTACGCGTCCCGCTGCGTCGCGTCGCTCGCATATCATGTCGTCACACGCTCCCCGCCCTGAATCTCGCGTCGCGCTTATCTTCCGCCATTAGATCCGCACGGAATGCGCCAACCAGCCGCGCAACACTGACGACATCCGCGTAAGCAGCACTTGCGCAGAGGGGACAAGCACCGAGACTGCCGGCGCCCGCGTCTGCGCCCGCGCCTCCTCCTCTGCGCTCTGCGCTATGCGCCCTATGCTCTGCGCCCTATGCTCTGCGCCCTATGCTCTGCGCCCTATGCACTGCGCCCTATACTCTGCGCCCTATGTACTGCGCCCTATGCTCTGCGCCCTATGCTCTGCGCCCTATGCTCTGCGCCCTATGCTCTGCGCCCTATGCTCTGCGCTCTATGCTCTGCGCCCTATGCTCTGCGCTCTATGCTCTGCGCCCTATGCTCTGCGCCCTATGCTCTGCGCCCTATGCTCTGCGCCCTATGCTCTGCGCTCTATGCTCTGCGCCCTATGCTCTGCGCCCTATGCTCTGCGCCCTATGCTCTGCGCCCTATGCTCTGCGCTCTATGCTCTGCGCCCTATGCTCTGCGCCCTATGCTCTGCGCCCTATGCTCTGCGCTCTATGCTCTGCGCCCTATGCTCTGCGCTCTATGCTCTGCGCTCTATGCTCTGCGCCCTATGCTCTGCGCTCTATGCTCTGCGCTCTATGCTCTGCGCCCTATGCTCTGCGCTCTATGCTCTGCGCCCTATGCTCTGCGCCCTATGCTCTGCGCCCTATGCTCTGCGCTCTATGCTCTGCGCTCTATGCTCTGCGCCCTATGCTCTGCGCTCTATGCTCTGCGCTCTATGCTCTGCGCTCTATGCTCTGCGCTCTATGCTCTGCGCTCTATGCTCTGCGCTCTATGCTCTGCGCTCTATGCTCTGCGCTCTATGCTCTGGTTCCTATTCCCCTTCTCGCCAAACCTCCACCCGTCCCCGCCCCAACCCCTACCCCTCATGGTTGTCCCCTTCCTCCCTTTCCCCCACCCGTTTTCTTCCTCCCGCACGAGGCAGGGAGGGAGGGCAGGAGAAAGGAATTTGCGGGGGGGGTATCGTCCACTGCTGCATGTCTCAACCTCTCACGTGTGTCCCGCCCTTCCCCCTCTCCCCCTCGCCCCCTCTCCCCCTCCTCCTTCCTTTCTCTCTGCCCGCCGCGCCCTTCCCCCGTTCCTCCTCGCAGGGGGGGTGGCGCGCAACATAGCGGAGTGCATGGCAGCACTCTCCGCCGCGCCCTTCCTCATCTCCGCCGTGGGGGATGACGCTGCAGGCAGGTCGCACTGCTGCTCTGCTCTGCTCCCCATGCCTCGCCTCTCCTCCACTCCTGCTCCCCTCCAGCCTGCCACTCCCGTCCCTCAAGTCCACACCCCCCCCCCTCTCACGGCCCTCTAGGCCCATGGCCCACCCTTTCTCCCTAACTCTGCTGGGTGTGCATGTAGGCCCATGTCCCTATCTCTCTGTTTCTTGGCCACTTCTCCAGGCATATCATTCCTGTATCCTCTTTGCTCTGTTTCTCATCTCTTCCTGACCACTTTTCCCTGTTTCCCCCACCTCCTTACCTGGTTTCCCATATCTCCCCTCTCCCCTTTCCCCTCTCCCCTCCTACCCCTTACGTGCTCCTCCTGCCACCTCAGCTGACATGCTTCCCCTTTCCCTTCCCCCCTGCTTCCCTCTTCCCCCTCTTCCCTATCTCCCCTGTTTTACTATTTTCTTGTTCCCCCTCCCCATCCCTCGTGTTCCCTCCCTCTCCCTCGCTATTGCAGTGACTACACTGAAGAATTTTCTGGTACTGCAACGCGCCTCAGCCCATCATCCCATGCCCCGTTCGTAGAGAAACCAGTTCCCCTCATGTTTTTTTCAGGGCCTTGAGAAAGGTACATTCAAAAGTATTACTAGGAACATGCCTCTATGTACCCTTCTGACACTCTTAGTGTCCATGCATCTTGGAAGAATATATTGCATTGCAGAAACAAAAGTACATATTGTGCCTTTGGGATGGATATCTCCAACAGTATTCTCATATCATGCTTGCATACAACACACAAGAAACAGGTGGTGGTACGGTGTAAAGCATCGACTAGCTGCGCCTCATCTTGCTCCACTGCTTCACCACATAAATTTAGGGGAGTGGAGTAGGCAGAAAGAATTGTGTGAAGATACATGGAGAGACAGTGATGGGTGCACATGCATGGGAACTAGAGGGCGGAAGGTGAGGACTGAGGGGGAAGGGGAGGTCATGAAAAGGAAGGGAAGGGTTGAGAAGGGGTGGGGAACAGGGCCCACGATATCAGGGCAAAACATCCTGATTACCCTGATTTCAGGATAGTGTTTTTATTTTTCCCTGGAATTTCAGAATGACGCTGAAATTTACCCTGTGACGACAGGATGATTCATGTGTTTTGCCCTGAAATTTCAGAATGGCAGTGAAATTTTGCCCTGAATCGGTAGGGTGAATGTAGAGGGATGCCCTGACTCGTGGGAAGGGGAAGTAGGGGTGGAGGGGAGGAGAGGGGGAGAGGGGAGGAAGGAGGCTGGAGGGTGTGTGTGTGTTTTGTCCCCACCCTTCCCCCTCCAAGGTTTTTGCTCAGCCCATTGTAGTGAAACCACTGAACAACGTGCTCCTCTCGTGCCTTCCCAGCCACTCTAGTGTCTTGTATTTTTTTGCCCTGAAACATCCAGATGAATTTCTGCTGGTGCCCTGAAATTTCAGGATGGCCAGGGAATTTTGCCCTGATAAATCAGGGCATTTAGGAAAGTTTTCAAAAGTTGCCCTGAGGGCTCAGGGTGCCCTAAATCCTAGCACAGGCCCTGGTGGGGAAGGGAAGGGCAGGACAGGGAGGGAAAGGCAGGGACTGGGAGGGCAGGTGGGAACGGGGCAGAGGGTGGGGGGAAGGAGGGCTGAGGGTGGTGGGAAGGAGAGTAAGAGTGCGAGAGGACGGAGAGAGAGAGTGCGAGAGGACTGCGAGAGAGAGAGAGTGTGGGAGGAAGGAGAGAGAGAGTGCGGGTGCAAGGAGAGAGAGAGAGAGTGCGGGAGAGCAGGGGAGGAATGGAAGCGTGAGGATGGGAAGGAATTTGAGGTGGGAAGGAATGAGAGGGTGGGAAGGAAAGAGAGAGGGTGGGAAGAAATGAGTCAGGGTGCGAAGGAATGAGAGAATGAGGGAAGGAATGAGAGAATGAGGGAAGGAATGAGAGAGGGTGGGAAGTAATGAGAGAGGGTGGGAAGGAATGAGGGGAGGTGCGAAGGAATGAGAGATGGCGGCAGAACAGAATGGGAGAGGGTGGGCGGAACAGAATGAGAAAGGCTGGCCGACACGCAGCGCTTGCACGTGCGACGGGCATTTTCCCAACGAGCGAGGGTGACGAGCTTGGGAAATAGGAGCGACGGGGGGAACTGCCAGCGGTAGGGACAGGAAGGACACATGGAGAGGGAGATTATGGGGGGAAGCAGGGAAGGGGATGGGAGGAAGCAGGGAAGCGGATGGGGGGAAGCAGGGAAGGGGATGGGGGGAAGCAGGGAAGGGGATGGGGGGAAGCAGGGAAGGGGATGGGGGGAAGCAGGGAAGGGGATGTGGGGAAGCAGGGAGGGGGATGGGGAGAAGCAGGGAGGGGGATGGGGGGAAGCAGGGAGGGGGATGGGGGGAAGCAGGGAAGGGGATGGGGGGAAGCAGAGAAGGGGATGGGGGGAAGCAGGGAGGAGGATGGGGGGAAGCAGGGAAGGGGATGGGGGGAAGCAGGGAGGGGGATGGGGGGAATCAGGGAGGGGGATGGGGGGAAGCAGAGAAGGGGATGGGGGGAAGCAGGGAGGAGGATGGGGGGAAGCAGGGAAGGGGATGGGGGGAAGCAGGGAGGGGGATGGGGGGAAGCAGGGAGGGGGATGGGGGGAAGCAGGGAAGGGGATGGGGCCAAGCAGGGAAGGGGATGGGGGGAAGCAGAGAGGGGGATGGGGGGAAGCAGGGAGGAGGATGGGGGGAAGCAGGGAAGGGGATGGGGGGAAGCAGGGAGGAGGATGGGGGGAAGCAGGGAAGGGGATGGGGGGAAGCAGGGAGGAGGATGGGGGGAAGCAGGGAAGGAGATAAGGGGAAGCAGGTGAGGCAAAGGAGAATATATTGGGGGGTAAACTGAGCTGGTGGGAGTGAGGGAGGTTGGTAATAAAAAAAAGGGGTGTTAACAATCAGGGGGAAGTGAGGTCGACAGGGAGAGGGAGTGAGGGGAGTACCCGCTCTCACCCTCTGTCTCTCACTCTCTGGGACCCCCCCCTCTGTTCCTCCCCCTCCGTCCTTCCCCTGCTGTCTCTCCCCCTCTTCCCTTCACCCTCTGTCTCTCACTCTCTGCCCCTCCCCCTCTGTTCCTCCCCCTCCGTCCTTCCCCTTCTGTCTCTCCCCGTCTGCCCTTCACCCTCTGTCTCTCCACCTGTGTCCTTCCCCCCGTGTCTCTCCCCCTCTGTCCTTAGCGAAAAAGGGCAGGAGAGAGGGAAGAGAGAGAGATAGAGAAAGGCAAGAGAGCGAGAAAGGGAAGAGAGGGAGAGGGGGAGAGGGACAGAGGAATAAAGGTAGAGAGCAAGGTAGGGAGGGACGGAGGGAGAGAGGAAGAGAGGGGAGAGGGAGAGATGGAGGGAGGAAGCTTGGGCGAAATAAAGAGGCGGGGGCGACGAGTAGAAGCGCGTGTGAAAAAAAAAGGCGGGGGCGACGAGGAGAAGCGCGCGCGGGCGACGAGGAGAAGCGCGCGCGGGCGACGAGGAAAAGCGCGCGCGGGCGACGAGGAGAAGCGCGCGCGGGCGACGAGGAGAAGCGCGCGCGGGCGACGGTTGGGGGTGCGCGCGCGGGCGACGAGGAGAAGCGCAGGACGGTGGGAAGCGCAGGCGACGAAGGAAAGCGAGAGAGACGAGTGGGAGATATCGTGACCCGAGCAAGTGTGGGCGACGAGAAGAAGCGCGGGTGTCGCTTTTCCGCCAGTCTCACGAGGGTAACGCGCTCTCGTCATACTAAATTCCTTGAGTGTGGCAACTCATGCCATTTACGAGCATTGCGCGTGTCGTGCGCTAGCACGGACGTAGCGTCCCTGGCATGCGAAAGAGGTACGGTGAGCGCTTGGCTTGAAGTTGTGCTGCTCAGCGATTGGCCAGACAGCGTGAGTGACTCGTGTTGCAAGGAAATAGTCGCCTTCACTTGAGCTACGGTAGTTTTTATCGCCCTGCCGCGCGTTTCCTAGTACTGTCCCTATTCTAGCAGACTAGTACTACTTGGTCTTCAAGATATGTGTGAGGTGATGACGGCAATATTGTGGGCGATGGTCGGAGGCTCTCGGAGGTGTTGTGCGACGGGGCACGGAAACCAATCAGGAGTGAGGGTCGCAAGAGGTTTTCCCTGAGTCGCGAGTTGTTTTTCAAACCAGAGAGGGTTACCCTGTTTTTTGCGACTTCAAGTTCAAGAATCTTGAACTTGAAAAATACCATGCTGTACTCGGGCTGAAACATCAGTGTTAGCGATGAAGTAAAGGCTGAAAAAATCAGTGTCACAAAAATCTCAACACTGAAAAATCAGTGTAGGTACACAAAACTAGGCTGAAAATCAGGAATTTCAGGGAAAATTTCCTGATATCGTAGGGCCTGCTCCGTATGCACACCAAACAATAGTTTTTTTTACCGCGCCACATTCATATCGACTCGTCGCGTATGCACACCAAATAGTAGTTTTTAATAGTTTGGTTTGTACGATAGCGAGAGAAAGAGGCTGGCGAAGTGGTTAGTTGTTGGTGTCACAATATGCATTGGTTTCGCAATACTATTGGCGGTTCGTCACCTTGACAAGTGCTTCTTGAACGAGGGATGCATAACCGCTTGTGTAACATGTTTCAAAGTGTTTTGGTTGACCAATAACTATTGACAAACCTCACTTGAACCGCGCCAAGCTCGTTTGAATGTAATGTTAGTCATTTCCATCCTGAACAGTTTCTGAACGACTTCATATTCCGCTCTAAGAGGAGAAATTTAACCAAAATTGCCTTCGGAGGCACGAGCTTTCTTCAAAAGAGTGAAAGGCAGGAAGCCAATTCGACGGAATATGGGGCAGTCAATTGGTCACAATCAAATTATCAATTCTGGTCGGTCAATTGCGTCAAATTAAACCGATTGATCGCTATACATTGATTGGGGTAGATCGGGTGCCGCTAACGAGCAATGCAACGAGTTACGATCTTGTTAAGAGCTTGTTAGCATCTCGCGACTACTGTTGATTTTACAAGCCCCTTGATTGTTTGCCACCAACTTCAACTAGCGATAAAAATTAAGGCAAATTGAGTTCGCATTTTCTCGTCAATCTAGACACTAAGGCACAAGGAACATCGACAGCAGGGTTTAGGGTATACAATCTGACGCAATCCAACCAAATCCAATCCGAACCGATGAAACGCGGATGGTCCACATCCTAACTTCACGTTTGCACCCACTTAGAGCCCAATGTTCCCTTATTATCACACCGAACCTAGCCACTCAGAGTGGAAAAGCTTAAAGTGCAGAATGCCAAGGAGGGAATCATACAATACCCTAGCGGTGGTAGATCGCAGGGAAGAGGACAAAGTCATACGCTAGCAAAGGGGAGTTGTGGGGTTTGGGGGCTGCCGCGCACCATTAGTCGCAACTCGTAGCACAGGGGGGATATTACACTCTTGGTAGATAGAACTATTGGTATGAAACGATGCCTTGGCAATACGGTATCAAAGCGAAACATTAGTTTCTGACCAAGCAAGATCAATGGAAGGATCTGCAAGCACATCCATCATATGCCAGCGTTGCTGTCAAATCTGATAGTGTTGTTGTTTGATCCACTGTCGTCGATGTCATATTTGCTAACACCGGCTAGAAAGCCTCCACCATATATGTCAGACGCAACACAACCTTCGTCAGACCTGCTAGCGCAATCTTTATTAAGGATGGTAGGGGGTGGACAAGGGTGGATGAACAACGCCTATAAGTGGCTAGCTATGAGGATCGTAATGCCCGCAAATCCATAATCCTACTTGACACACCCAATTAGAATTTTCATGGGACATTTAAGCAAAGCACCATTTAACAAGACTTGCATGCGTGGGCATGTTATTGATAGTAGGGCTTTGGAGGTACACACCTCATAGTTGCCGATTTCCACCAAAGTCGCCATCACAGCGCCGTGCAAGCCTCGCTCGATTCGATGGTAGGAACATATGCATTCATTTTACCAACAATGAAAAGGTAGCGCTACGTCATACTGGTAACGAATTGTTCTGCTATGGCTGGATTGAATGTCGTAGCCGGATGTGTACCCATTGCATTAGTGTTGTAAAGGTTACACCTAATAAAGGTGGAGCCGAGGGTCGGTCTTCATACCATATTGCTTGGTTAGAGGAGCCATGGGCTTCCTTGTCCATGGGTTGAATATTGAATAATATAACTCCTTTCAGACATTGAAACCAATATTATGGGAAAAGCGGTAGGTAATCGTTGTCTCAATAGAGTATCATACCATTCAGGGCTAGAACAAAGAACTTCGAAATATTCAGATGCTAAGAGTGGAAATTTTGCGAAGGTCTTGAATCCATGTACTAGTATTGTCAGAAATGAGAAGGAAAGAATGACTAGAAGAGAGCAGTACAAGGTTTGTATATGCAAAACCTAAATTGGGCTGTACCTCATAAGGAGTGCCCCACTACAGCCTAGAGCATAGTTCTGACACACCCCCATAGGCAAAGTGGGGGACAAGCAAGAGAACGAAGCAAGGTCAAGCTCAGGGTGGATCACAACGTCACCACGCATTCTGAGCACAAGCAAATGGCCACAAGGCCAGATCACATGCAGAGTTATATATAAAGGAGAACAAGCAGTACAGTGATCACAACCTAGCAAGAGTAAGCATGCATGTATATGTATATAGATCACAGTACAAGCAAAGTCAAGAAGTGAGCAAGTGAGGCCAAGTAGGCACAAGGCCTAGAACAGTACAGAAACGCTGATGATCACAAGGCTGAAGTGCCTTGGTGAAGACATCAGCAGTGTTGGCCTGAGAGGCCACGTAGACAAGACGAAGCTGACCACGCTGCTGCAACTCTCGAGCAAGGAAGTAGCGCAGAGCGATGTGCTTCGTTCTATGCTCCAGTCTGTGCTCCTGACACAAGGCAATCATGGCCTTGTTGTCGATGTACAGAACTGGAGGAGAACGAGGCGGCTCGCCCAAGTCGGTCAGCAGGTAGGTGAGCTAGCGTAACTCCTGTGCAGCCATGGCCCCTGCGTAGATCTCAGCCTCACAGCTGGAGCTGAGAACAGAAGACGAGCAGGTAGACCGCCAAGAAACAGAGCCAGAGCCAAGGCTGAAAGTGTAACCCTGTGACGACCGCTGCGTAGCCAAGTCATCAACCCAAGAAGCGTCTGCGTGACCAGTGAGGACAACTCGAGCCCGTCCTCCAAGCACGAGCCCCATGCCCGACGTACTGCACAAGTAGCGCATCACCCTCTTAGCGGCCTTCCAGTGCTCTGGTCGGTGTCTCCCGGGCGCAACATAGCGAGCCAGGATGCTAAGAGGGTAAGCAAGGTCAGGTCGAGTGCAGGTCATCAGGTACATGAGGCAGCCCACAAGCTCTAGATACGGGCCACTCGGCTCTACGGACTCATCTGAAGGCAGAGCTGAGAGTGAGTGACCGGTAGGCAGAGGAGTGGCCTGTGGCGAGGAGTACTCGAAGCCGAAGCGCTGAAGGACCTGCTGCACCATGTGTGACTGAGTCAAGGTAATGGTGCGCTGTGCTCTGTCCCAGGTGATCTGCAAGCCAAGATAGCTACGCTGCTCACCCAGGTATGTGCACGTGTGTCTCTTCTACAGCTCCGACTTCACGTGGGCGAGTCCCTCAGTGTCAGCAGTGGCAAAGACCAAGTCGTCGATGTACACGAGGATGTAGAACGGCGGCAGAGAAGTGTCGGTGCGTAGAAACAGCGACGGGTCAGCAGTAGAAGGAGCAAACCCAAGAGCCGCAAGAGTCGTCCTCAGTGTGTCGTGCCACTCGCGAGGCGCCTGGCGGAGACCGTAGACTGGCCGCCGGAGGCTCCACTGAGTACCTGGAGGAAACGACCCAGTGAAGCCAGGTAGGCGGCGCAGCCAGATCTCCTTGTGCAGGCTGCCCTGTAGGAAGGTTGTGCTGAAGTCAAGAGAGTGAAGCTCGTAGTCACGCTGCGTGGCAACGTGCAGCAGCACCCGAAGAGTGGTCATCTTCGGGGTAGGGGAGAAGGTCTGGAAGAAGTAAACTCCCTGTCGCTCACTGAAGCCTCGTGCAACGTAACGCGCCTTGAAGACAGACGGAGAACCCGGCGGCCGCTTCACCCTGAAAATCCACATGCCACTGACGATGTTCGCCCCAGGTGGGGGAACCTCAGCACCCCCAGGCTCAGCACCCCCAGACTCAGCACCTCCAGGCTCAGCACCCCCAGGCTCC